CCTGCTGGGAGCGACCTCAGTGCTGAGACGGGAGCTGCCCGGGAGGGAGAGGCTCCCACGTGGGCCTGCTCCACACTCCTGGTCGGATGATAATCGGAGAGCATTATCCTCCCGGGGGCCTGGCGCTGGGTGGGGTGGGGATGGTGGCGATGCCACCAGGGGCCTCCCCGGGGTTGGGTTCACAGGCCGCTGCGCCGTGGGATTGAGTGCAAAGGGGTGCGATTCCTGGGATGCGGGGCTGCTGAAAGGCCCCCGTTTTCTCTCTTTGGGTCTCAAAAAAGATAACCATGAGACATTATTCACATACCATGAAATTCACCCTTCTAAAGTGTAAAACTCAGTGGTTTTTAGTGACTTCACAGCGTTTATTATGCAACCATCATCACTGTCTCATTCCAGAACTTTTTTGTCAGCTCAGAAACCCCCATACCCAGTAAGCCGTCACCCCCTTCCTGTTTCACGCTCTCCCCCAGCACCTGGTAAACGCTAACCTATTTTCTGTCTCTATTCTGCACATTGTGTATAAATGGAATCAGACAAAACATGGCCTGTGTGTCTGGCTCTTTCACTAGGAATATGTTTTCTGGGTTCACCCGTGTTGTAGCGTGTAGTGTGTGTCGGTGCTTCGTGCCTCCCATGGCTGAGTGACCTTCTGTCATGTGGGCAGACCCCATGTTGTTGACCCATTCATCCAGCGAGGCATCCTGTTAGGCTAAAATGCTCGGAACATTTGTGTGCCGGTTTTTCTGTGGGCACATTCTCAATTCTTTCAGGTGTTTACCTTGAATTGCTGGGTCATTTGATAAATAACTCTTTAATTTTTTGAGGAACTGCCAAATTGCTGCTTACAGGGGCTCATTTTTCTTGTTCTTTTTTTAAAGACTTAAAAAAAGATTTTATCTATTCTGGCTGTCTCACATTTTCATATGAATTTTAGGTCAACTTGTCAAATTCTGTTAAAAAAAAAAATCCACCTGGGATTTTCATCGGGATTATGTTCAATCTGTGGAACAATTTGGGGGATATTACACCTTAAAAATATCAGGTTTCCCAAACTGTGGACATGGGATATCTTTCCATTTACCTAGTTGTTTTTTTTCCTAAATTTCTTTCAATAGTATTTTACTAGAGGCCCAGTGCACAAAAATTTGTGCACTCCGGGTGGGGGGGGGGGGGTCCCTCAGCAGTCCCTATGCCCTCTTGCAGTCTGGGACCCCTTGGAGGATGTCCACCTGCTGGCTTAGGCCCGCTCCCTGGTGGATCGGGCCCAAGCTGGCAGTCAGACATCCCTCTGGCAGCCTCGCAGCCCACGGGGGATGTCCACTTACCAGCAGGGAGCAGACCTAAGCTGCAGTCGGACATCCTTAGTGCTGCTGCGGGAGAGGCTCCCGCCACCACCGCTGTGCTGGCAGCCATCAGCCTGGCTTGTGGCTGAGCAGAGCTTCCCCTGTGGGAGCGTACTGACCACCAGGGGGTAGCTCCTGCATTGAGCATCTGCCCCCTGGTGGTCAGTGTGTGTCATAGTGACCAGTCATTCCCAGTCGTTCTGCTGTTAGGGTCAATTTGCATATTACCCTTTTATTATATAGGATAGAGGCCTGGTGCA